TGCAAAAATATAAATCCACCTGGAAAGTCCTTGAAAATTCGCATGATAGGGTGTTTCTGAAAAAGCCTTTGGAAGAAAAATGTGCTCAATATAAATATAATTTCGAATGTAAACACCAACTTCCATTTCGGAAACACGAAAATTTTTTATTTTCATTTCTCCGAAAAGGGCCACTTTGCCGATTGTGCAAAAATATAAATCCACCTGGAAAGTCCTTGAAAATTCGCATGATAGGGTGTTTCTGAAAAAGCCTTTGAAAGAAAAATGTGCTCAATATAAATATAATTTCGAATGTAAACACCAACTTCCATTTCGGAAACACGAAAATTTTTTATTTTCATTTTCCAGAAAAGGGCCACTTTGCCGATTTTGCAAAGAATATAAATCCACCTGGAAAGTCCTTGAAAATTCGCATGATAGGGTGTTTCTGAAAAAGCCTTTGAAAGAAAAATGTGCTCAATATAAATATAATTTCGAATGTAAACACCAACTTCCATTTCGGAAACACGAAAATTTTTTATTTTCATTTTTCAGAAAAGGGCCACTTTGCCGATTGTGCAAAAATATAAATCCACCCCATGTTTCTCGGTTAAACTTCATTGTTATTTGGCGTAACTGTCAGGTTGTTTCCACTTCCTCTTTCTCAGGTCATGACGGAAGCAACACCGTAATCGGACTCCGAAAAAAAGGCGAAATCTGCAAAAGAGTGGGGAGATTTGTCATGCAGACATACCGCGCGTGATTTGAGCACCGCTTATGTGGTTGTTGAGCATTTTGTCAAGAATCCTGCAGCATGTGGAATCCAGAAGAGCACTGAACCCTTTTCTTCGTGTTTTGGGTGCGATGACCGTAGTTTTATAGGAACAGCAGCCGATTCTCCCAAGAGTGCTGCTCGGCAAGTAGCCTTCCCCAAAAGCATAATTCAGGAGCCAGTGTGGTGTGTGTTAGAGAACTCTGAGACACTCTTCGACGATGAGTATGGCACAGTTTAAGACACAAAGCTATCCCAAAAATCAAGCCAACTTTCCATAATGTGTGCATGCTGCGCCAGCTGCATTAAGTTCGGCTTTCTACACGCTACTTTTTACTGTCTGTCTGAATTTCTCTGAGTTTTTTTTCTGGCAGTGTGTTTGGCAGAGACAGGAACTCATATTGAAAAAGGAAACCAGTGAAACAAGTGAAAACAGCCATCAAAAGGTACTGCGCGGCCAATTGGCCTCGCTCCGGCCAGATCGACCACTGATCTTGGGAAACTTGGCTTGATTTTTGCGATGATTCGGGATTTTTGAATGTGTCCTACTCATTTTCCGTTGAACAGTGACTCAGAGTTCCTCTAACACACGCCGATCGGTGACTTTCGAGAAATAAGGTTTTTTTGAAGGTTGAGTTCCTGGGCACCCCTTGGGAGAATCGGCTGTTTTTCCCATAACACTACGGTCATCGCAACTGAAACGCGAAGAAATGGGTTCAATTCTCTTCTGTATTCCACATGTTGCAGAGTTCTTGAAGAAATGCTTAGCAACCACGTTAGCGGGGCTCAAATCACGCGCGATTTGTCTGCATGGCAAATCTCCCCACTCTTTTGCAGATTTCGCCTTTTTTTCGGAGTCCGATTACGGTGTTGCTTCCGTCATGACCTGAGAAAGAGGAAGTGGAAACAACCTGACAGTTACGCCAAATAACAATGAAGTTCAACCGAGAAACATGGGGTGGATTTATATTTTTGCACAATCGGCAAAGTGGCCCTTTTCTGAAAAATGAAAATAAAAAATTTTCGTGTTTTCGAAATGGAAGTTGGTGTTTACACTCGAAATTATATTTATATTGAGCACATTTTTCTTTCAAAGGCTTTTTCAGAAACACCCTATCATGCGAATTTTCAAGGACTTTCCAGGTGGATTTATATTTTTTGCAGAGTCAGTGTATCTTACTTGTATTTTATTATCACAAGATATTAGTAAACAAAAATTAATCACCATCACGTTCTATCACTCTTCGCCATTTTTCGGGCAGACTTTTGATGCCTTCGGCAAAGACTTTTTCTGGCTTCGATTCAAAAAAGTTGCTCAACCAGAGCTCAACGTGCTTCGAAAAACCGCGAGAACTTTCCCTAACATATTCCATTATTTTAAATAGCGGCTTTGGTATTCGCAGACCGTTTCCCTTATTTCAGATTGCAAGAGTTCATACGGATGTGATAGCGCGGCGGAGTCCTTGAATACAAAATCATTAATATGTGATGAACCGCAGACGAATGACGCTGCTGCCCCGATTACACCAGCTCTTAGCCGTTTTTGCAATGTAAGATATTTCCCAAAAGTTTGGATTAGATCTAGGTTCACATCTCAATCAATATAATAAAAGAGTAAGCTGTCGTTCTGAATGATGTGGGCATCATACCACAGGAGGGAGACATAGGTATTGTAGCCCGCGGTCCTAATCTTATTGCAATTCGAGCCACTTGCCAGCCTTTAAACTTTTCTATTAAACATTCACTAGTGAAGACCAGACCAGAAAAACTTGCACTCTAGCTGATATGAGAGTACTTCTGAAGAGACAACTTTTTATTTGCACTCTGCATAATCCACAGTTTTCTCTGAATCTCGCTTTCTACTATTTTCATTCTTTGATTCCTTCAAGCAGACCATCATCTGCAATCTTTCCTAGCCGTTGACATTTTAGTTCGTATGAGTTACAGACTTCTCTCATTAAAAGCCAGCCACTGTTCTTTTGTGATGGATTTGCTCTAGCAACATAGGAAGCCACATGCAACGTGCAGAAGGGCAGCCGTGCGAGACTATGATTTATGAAGGTGAGCGTAGAGTGCATATGTGCTGAACACAGAGAGTGAGAACAAAGAGCAGTTTTATTGACCGATGAGAAGCCGTGGCCCTTGCCACACGGATGAACGAAGAGTCAGGCGCCGTGCAAAAAAAATGAAAAGATCATCTACTTCAAAATGCTACAGAAAATCACCACAAACCTCAGCGAGGAATGTTTGGATAGAATTTTTTGACTGCTGTGGAGTAAGATGAAAGAAGCATAACATGAGAAATGAAAACTATTCTACACTAACCTCGTGCCTCAAGAGCAGCAATCGCGTCGATTTCACCGACGTCTGCCCGTATATGCTGAGCAATTCCCTTACAGAGATCATTTACAATGTTTGGATGAGCAAAAAGGGGCATTATGTCCCTGAAAGAATAGCGCAAATAGAACAGGGATCCTCAATAATGGGTCTTGAATCATAGCAATAACGAAAAGATAATAAAATAACAGTAATAATAGCACTCCGTGAGTTCACCCAACTGGTGGTATGGGCAGATGGAAACGGAGAACCCTGCTTACTATGGTTGGAAGCTCAAATGGAAGGACGTCTTGAGCACCGACTCTATTGCTTTATTATAAGTTCAGGTCTCCTCAAAGATCTTCGAGCCTGTTCACTAAGGTA